CAAAAAGCAAAAATTCTTTTTTTTTTTTTTTTTTTTTTTAGCTTTTCATTTTCTTTCATAGAGCAACTGAAATTCTGTGAAATTAATTTATATATAAGGCCTTAAACATAAGCCTAGAAAGGATGGGTCATATATCATTGATTTCATTGCCATGCAGGCCAGATTTACATAGAAAAAAAATTTTCTCCTTTGAGCATAGACATCACCTATGAGTAGCTGATACAGAAACTCTTGCTGTTACTCACTCAAGGGGAGAAGGCAAGGGAAAACGCAGAAGGCAGCATGAATCCAGTCCTGGACATTCAGAGTGCCTGAATGTACCAACAGTGGATCCGTAATGCACCCTTTGTGCAGAACAGTGCAGAAAAAGCACCTTTCAATTTATCGTAAACATATTGCTTGTGTTTACAAATTTCCTTACAAAATCTGAGTCCCATCAGTCATAACTTAGAATGACAACCTTGATTCCTGTGTAATAGGGGTAGTTATCCTTGGGATAACCAACTCTTCGTTGCAAGGCACTACAGAAAACATCAATTCCTGCTTTGGGGATGGTGAGAATCTTTGGTAACATCTCAGATGTAAAGATTCAGTGCTTTAGTAACAAGGCATCTCTGGGGGATGGAAATCAAGTGGGCATGGTTTGGACCATGCTAAGCATGGCACCCAAGCCATGATGTAGAGTAAATTGTTGGGTATATGACTCTCATGATACAGAGTAGATCATTGGGTATATGAGCTAGGGAGGGGGGTGCGGAACCAGGCTCGGAGATATGGATTTGGGGCCATCAGCATACAGAAGTTATCTGAAGCTGTGGGATTGGATGAGATCACCTACCTAAGATTAGGAGCTAGCACAGAAGACTGATAAGGAGCAGCTAGAGAAAGAGAAGGAAACCAATATGGTGTCATGAAAACCAAGAGAAGACAATGTTTCGAAAAGGAGAAAGTAGCCATCTGTGTCTAATGCTGCTGAGAGGTCTGGTAAGGTAAGAACAGATGACAACTGGATTTGGCAAATTTAGAGACCCTGACAATAGCAATTTCAGTGGCACAGGGAGAATACAATCCTAACTGGAGTAGGTTAGCAAGAGAATAGGTGACAAGGAAATGATCCTCTAACAAAATAAAATTGTTTCAAATAGTTTTGTTGTGAAGGGAGCAGAGAAATTACATGAAAACCAATGTGGAGCCAAGGAATATTTATTCAAGACAGATTTTCCTCAAGTATGCAAATGGGAATGTTCAGCAGAGACAGGAAATTGGTAATGCAGACATGCATTAGAATGCAGTTCCGAATAGCTTTGCCAAAATTCCATATAGGCAGTTCTACATATTGAAATGGACATTAATAGTAGTTGTGGAAATTACATTCCATCTTCATTCCATTCCCTACAGGATTCTACTGGGGCTCCATGCTCAAGGTGAGGAATCGGGATTCACTAAGGCAGTTTGGGATTATAGTAGAGACACTGAAATCTCCTTTAGTGCTCATGGTGAGGAACTGGAAATGGTACATGCCTGGTTTATTGGGGTTCCATGATATAAATCTAACATCTGAACCTTAAAAAGTTGCATCTTCAAATTATAATGACACCTTCTTCGTCACCCATAGAAACTGAAATTGAAACATGTTTGCCATTTTGACAGGAGTACAAAATTTCAAGCTTTGAGCAGAGACTGATGAATGAAATAGAGTTTCGCTTGGAACGTACCCCGGTTGATGAATCAGACGATGAAATCCAACATGACGAGATCCCCACGGGCAAGTGCATTGCTCCCATCTTTGACAAAAGACTCAAGCACTTTCGAGTCACAGAAGGCTCTCCAGTCACATTCACCTGCAAAATTGTTGGAATACCTGTTCCAAAGGTAAGGGAAGATGACCAGCCAGTTGGCAAAGCAACAACACAGAACTGCAGACAGAAAGTCTTATCAGACTCACATGAAGTATCTACGAAGGGAATAAAAACCAATACCAGAGCCCTGGCCGGGTAGCTCAGTTGGTTAGAGTGTTGCCCTGATACACCAAGGTTGCAGGTTTCATCCCTGGTCAGGGCACATACAAGAAGCAACCAATGAATGCATCAATAAGTGGAGCAACAAAATCTCTCTCTCTCTCCTTCTCCTTCTCTCTCCCTTCCTACCTCTTTCTAAAATCAATAAAAATAAAAATTCAAAAAAACAATACCAGAAAATTAACAAAGCCCAGATAATTTGACTAAAAAGAGACAATCAGGAATAGGACTGTTAAGTAGGCCAGACTTATGGGTAAGTTAGAATTTTATTAAAATTTTATAATAAACTTCTTAGTCACGATCCTCTGTTTTGGACTATTGATTCTCCCAACCGTCACTCTCGCCAAATTGATATATATTTTTAAATTTAACACTTATTGAATATCCACAGTGCCTGTTGTTGTACAAATTGAGCTATATTTGTATCATTACTGTTAGGTTGGTAAATGCTAAAAATGTCATCTCATTATCACTGGCTGCTGAAAAATTTTATGAGTCATCAGATTTTTTGGCAGTCAGCTAAGAGAAGGATTTACACCCAGTATCGCTGTGGCAGGGGATCTCTCCACCCTTCTTTCCACAAACATTAATTAGCATGGCATTATCGTGTATGGTTAGGTAACCAGGAAATGTAGAGAAGGGCAGCTGCGACCAGTGCTTAATCCCCACCCCACCCCCACCCCGTCCTTGATATAGCTCCTTGATACACGCAGAATTTAACTTGAAAAAAATATATATTATTCAAATTTTAGCCAGATGAGAAATTGAGTGAGTGAATCCGGCCTCATTCAACTTGGCATAATATACCGCACTATCCTTTCAAGCAAGGTGAGCTATTCTAGGCCCTGAGATCTGCAACTGCGGAAGACTTAAGCCCGTAGTGGGATAGAGTAAGGGAACAGGATAATGGGGAAAGATTCAGGCTCCTGGTTTCCATTATTATGCTTCTGAAAACACATCTCGTTCTTAGGGTAACTTTTTAAGTAATTATGAAATACAATTAAATAGTCAAAAGCTTTAACTCGATCTTGAATTATGTAGAATTTTTGACTTAAACATTGTATAAGTGCAGGATCACCTTATGCTGTTTTTAATACGTTTTATAATTTTTTTCTAAGCATTTTATAAGAGATGAGTCACTTCTAGAGATGAAAATCGGCCCTTGCCTCACCCTACTCCCTACTTCATTATCTTCTAAAGATGCACAGAACAGTGTATTTCCTCCTCGATTATTTCTCACGTCAGGTCTACTGGTTCAAAGACGGGAAGCAGATTTCAAAGAGGAATGAGCACTGCAAAATGAGGCGAGAAGGAGACGGGACATGTTCTCTGCACATTGACTCCACCGCCAGTGACGACGATGGCAACTATACGATCATGGCTGCCAACCCCCAGGTGGAGGCGCAGGGCTGTGCTGCACCCTGAGGAAGGGGCGGTTGACGTCGTGAATGAGCGCGAGTTAGGGAGGGTTGAGAGAAGCCAATGAGAAGCATTGTGATTGTGGGTAACTAGAGCATGGTCTCACAACTCAGGTGGCCAGTTGGCCACTGGTGGGTCACTCAGCCCTGCAGCCTTTGTCGAAGGACATTAGTGGGATCTGTTCACTACGTGTACATCACAGACCTATTGGGCTAAGTCTTGTGTTGTCAACTCACTGACTGTCTCGAAGAGTCAGTAAATCAGTTTGTCAAAGAATGATTTGCTGTTTTTATCGCTTAGAAAACAAGCAAATTACTCCACCAAGTCCTGTGAATATTTCTCAAACTCATAATCTCTCTTTTTTTTTTCTCATTTATTCTTTATTTTGGTAAATTTAGAAAGCCATAATCTTTTGCTTTCATTTTCTGAATACAATTGACTTAAACTCCCCCTAAAAGATATGGCTGAATAAATATGTTCAACTCCTATTAGAATAGGAATTTCTGCTTTCGCCCACTCTTTCTATTAAAATATTAGTTTCGAAGATAATCTCTGTTGAGGAAAGTGTAAGACCACTTGGCCATGATCTCTGCATGTGGCTGCAGATAATGTTAAGTGCACAAGAATTCAATTTTTTACATGTGTGCTCTGTTTATTTCTCAGCTTAACAGCGAAAGTCATTAAAAGAGTCTTAAAAATCACCCCACCCCACCCCCCGCCCTGGAATATTAACAGTGATTTAAGGAGTCATATTTTATCACACACACCCCAAAGAAAACTTGTAATAGCCAAAACATTCATCATGTTCATGTCCAGGAAAATTAATATAAGTTGAAAAAATGCAGAATCATTATTTTAATCTTGTTCATTTTCTGTTTCTTAGGGAAGAATCAGCTGTTCTGGCCACTTAATGGTACAAAGTTTGCCTATTCGCAGTCGACTAACACCTACCAGTCAGTCTCACAGGTAAAGACAAAAAGAATCTTCCTTCTCTAGCCCCTCCCAAGCACCCACCTACCACAGTGAGTACAGAAGTGTTCAGTCTAGAAATTGTTACTTAATGTGTAGTCCTCCACCTGGAGCCTCAGCATCACTTGGGAGCTTGTTGCAAATGCAGAATCCCAAGCCCACCCCAGACCTGCTGACTCACAAGCACACTAAATTCGAGAAGTACTAGCCTACAGCACACTTCTGATGCTTCAAAATCTGTAACCATCAGTAGCACCTGTGCACATATAAATCGGATTCTTTGGGTTAAATTGCCATTTTTTAAAATAAAAGAAGAACTATTAATGGTTATATGGATGTAGATTGAATATTGTTGTTGTTGTCTCCAGTATACCAATTTTCTCCAATAAACCACTTGGCTTTCTACCTCTCTGATTTTACTAACCACTAAGAAGAAAGAGCATAGCTTTGCCTTGAGTCCTATGGTGCCATAGAATCTTAGCAAAGCATTCCATAGTTGCTGACACGGATGAATTAAATTTGACTTACCAAAGAAACAAAAATAGTGACTCATGTTTCAGATACAGTATTTCACCACCGTTGCACTATACCTTCTTCATTTTTTTTCCCAACAGCTGTTACTGTTGGTCAGTCTGAATCAGTAAGTTCATGATAATCTTTAATGGTCTGCCATAATTTATAGCTAGGTCAAATTTCATTACTCAGAGACACAGGGATTGCAGCTGCCTTGTTCTGGGTAATAAACAGGACTTCTCTTTTGGCTCTCATTTGAGGTTCGACTTGAATACTGATATATTTGTTTATTTTAAAACTTTTGAACAACTGGTTAAACCCAAGGCAAGAAGAGCTGAGCTACTTAACCCAGAATGACTTCAGAGAGAAAGAAGCTAAAGGCTGTTTATTTGATTACAGGTCTCACAAGATAATCCCACAGTGTACGAGATACTTTGTGTTTTACATCAGCTTCACACTGCTATTTATATTTATTATTTGTTTATGGTCCAGCAACACCTTTTCCCTCCCTCACCCCCCCTGCAAAAAAAAATAACCCCCTGCAAAAAATAAAAATAAAAAATCTGTCATCAGTTTGTAAACTGGTGTCTATCTTTAATGCCTGAACATGTTTGTCATTATAGAGGAAGGTCCCGAGTGCAAGAAAGAGACAAGGAGCCCCTACAGGAACGCTTTTTCCGACCACATTTCCTGCAGGCTCCTGGGGATATGGTAGCTCATGAGGGGCGCCTCTGTCGGCTGGACTGTAAGGTAGACCCTAGCACCCATCCTTGTTTTCAGATCTTTTCACATTTTGCAATTGTTTGCCTGTTTGCACTTATTTTTGTTTGTGTTTGTTTCATTGGGGTTTTTTTGTGGGGGGTTTCTGTTTGCTTTTTTCAAGAAAAAGGGACCTGGGGAAGGGGGAGAGATGACTTTTTCTTTTCCACCGCAATGCTCTTTTGAAGCATTTAATACCAGACAAAAGTATTTCATGAAACTTTCATGTCTTTATATCTTAATATTGGTATTGAATCAAGTTAACTCTGTGTTTGTAAAAGACAGCCAGGGGTAATATAATTCTGACATTTTCCTTACGCCTGTAAAGTTTTTATTACTATAAAGCCAAAAGTGTGACTTTTGCATCCTTGGAGCAAATTGCTGTGAGATATAGCCTTTTAAAAAGTATAGTCATGCCCGACTAGTGTGGCTCAGCAGTTGAGCATCAACCCATGAACCAGGAGGTCATGGTTCGATTCCCGGTCAGGGCACATGCTGGGGTTGTGTGCTCGATCCCCAGCAGGAGGCGTGCAGGAGGCAGCTGATCAATGATTCTCTCTCATCATTGATTCTCTCTCATCATCTCTCTCTCATCTCCTATCTCTCTCTCCCTCTCTCTGAAACATATTTGGGAAAAAATAATAAAAGTATAGTCATGTGCTGACTGGGTGGCTCAGCTGGTTAGTGTTGTCCCATACAACAAAAAGGTTTGGGGTTCAATTCCCTGTCAGGGCACATACCTAGGTTGTGGGTTCCACCTCGGTCGGGGCACATACAGGAGGCAACTGATGGATGTTTCTCCCCCATATCAATGTTTCTCTCTCCCTTCCTCTCTGTCTAAAATCAATTTAAAAAACATATCCGTGGGTGATGATTAAAAATAAATAAGTAAGCAAATAAATAAATAATAAAAATTATAGTCATGAAAAGATGGCTCCAAGGCAGTTTATAAAAACAGTCCTTTGATCAGAAACGAGGTTCATTTGGGCTGCCTGGATATCTCCCAGTATGAAGAGAAACTTAAGTCGCCCCTTCTGCCCCGACAACGATGCAGAGTGCTATGGAAATTTTAGACACAAAATAGTGAAGACTTGAGGGTAAGCATTCATGAAGTCCACTTCTCTTGGTCATTCTCGCTCTCCCAATGAATGCCTAAAAAATATTTGGGATTGACTGTTACTTCTTCTACTCTAAACCCTAACAGATACCCATATGTGTACCCAGAGAGTCTGACTTAACATTACTATGTTAAATAGTGGGCAACAGGACTTTGTTTTTTTAATATATCTTTATTGATTTCAGAGAGAGGAAAAGAGAGGGAGTGAGATACAAACATCAAGGATGAGAGTCATTGATCAGCTGCCTCCTGCACGCCCCCCACTGTGGATCAAGCCCACAACCGGGGCATGTGCCCTGACCAGGAATTGAATTGCAATCTCCTAGATCCTAGGTCGATGCTCAACCACTGAGCCATGCCCCACCGGGCATGGGAATCAGGACTTTCAAATGTTCCCCACATGATTATAATACACAGCAAGGCTTGAGAACACTGATTTAATGCCTGCCCTTTACTTAGCTACCTCTCACTTATATTAGGCGTGTGAACAATGTATCATCTCTGAAACTGATGCTGCAGGCCTATTTTATCTGTTTAGCTTCATCATTCTTATTTATTCTAATCTAGAATATAATTATGACCTGAATTGAGGTCAAAATACTATACAGTTTAAATTCATGTGGCCATTTATCCAGATCCATCTTGTCCTGATGTCTCTTCACTACCCGTGTTTTCTCTCAGTATCTGCTGCCAGGAAAGGATGAGCATTCAGCCACCAAATAAATCTGCCTGTTGTCAGTCTCCCGTTTGCCTCAGCTGTCCTGTTTTTTATTAGGTGAGTGGCTTACCGCCCCCAGAGCTGACGTGGCTGCTCAATGGCCAGCCTGTGCTGCCAGACGCCTCCCACAAGATGCTGGTCAGGGAGACCGGAGTCCACTCTCTGCTCATCGACCCACTCACTCAACGTGATGCGGGGACCTACACGTGCGTTGCTACCAACAAGACAGGACAGAATTCCTTTAGTCTGGAGCTCACCGTAGTAGGTAAGGTTTGCTGCTGGGACCCTTAGACATAACTCCCTCCAAAGTTATTGCCCAAATAAATATACAGAGCCTCTGACAGAATCCCCTAGTCCTTTGCCACACCAAGTCTAATCCCAGTTTCTGCTTCACTCTAATAAGGGCCATATTTTGTACATTGCTTTCAAAGACATATCAGTAAGCTAAAAATATAATAGGGTGCCTTGTGCATATTATGCATGCAATAAATGAGAGTCATCTGTAATAGTTAATCAATGAATTTTTCAATTAGTTAACAGATCAATTAATTAATTAGTCAATTGATTAACTGAGCATTACTACATTCAAGTCACTTGCCCCACAGTTCATCACTCCCGGAACACACAGGCTCTTCCTTGCCCGGCCCTCCCAGCTTCCAGGCCTTTGCATCAAATGGTCCCTTTACCTGGAATGCCCTTCTCCACCCAGCAACCTCCTCCTCGTTCCCTAGGGTTTAATTCAGATGTCACCACCAAGACACAGCAATCCACCCAGCACATCTTCCTCTGTTTCCATAGCCTTTAGAAAAGGGGAGACTCTTAGAGCGCTTCCTGTGTAACTGTTTACTCCTTTGGCGCCCCCCTCTGCCCCCCAGGAGACTAGGAGCATCTAAGTTCAGAGATTCGGACTTGCTCTTCTGTGGATCTCCAGGGTCTGACTCTGCCTGGGCCATGAAAGGTGCCCAGCAAATGCTGAGTCCATAACTAAACAATGAATTTTTACCTTATAAGATGATGTGAACATCAGGGCCTGCAAGTAGGGACAGTAAGTCATCGTCACCTAAGTGGTACCAGCCCTTCAGAGCAGCAGTCCAGCCAAAATAAAATCTCGAAATGTACAGATTCAAGTGCTGGGCTTCCTCCCCTGTGTGGCCCCTAGAGGAGGCCGGGGTGACTGCAGCATGCTAGTCCTCTCCCCAGGCTAGTGGCTGTTTGCCCCGTATCGTTTTGGTTTTCTCACTCATGATTTCTTCTTACTGACAGAGTAGAACCAAGTTCATTCTACAAGGATATATTGATTGCCAGCTTTTACTTTTTCCCCCCTATTTTGCTAAAATATTGACTCTGGAATAATTGATTCTGTCCAAAAACAAAAAATAAAAAAACCTCCTTTGGAAGTAAAATTTGTGGTTTTTTTTTTTTAAAAAATAGTATACTTCTTTCAACTTTTCTGTAGCTATGAACTTCTTCAGAATAAAAAGTTCAGAAAAATTAATATATCTTTTACAAAATAAACTCCTATAAAAAAGAAAAAGGATATTTTGGTACATAAAATATAGTTTCTCAAAATTTACTACAGAGCAATAAAGGAAACTCCTTAAATTTCACACCTACCATTTGCATCCTTTGTGTGCAACCCAGATCCTTGAGTGTTGCCTCTTATAGGATGTGCAGAGACAGTTTCTTCATTTCTGTTTAACCCATTTCCTGAGCTTTTATCAAGGCAGTGGCCTTCACTTAGAGGGGTGAGAAGTGTTCTGAAGAGGAGCTAAGGGAGTGGGTGCACACTCTGCTAAATTCCAAAACTGTGATGAGTTTGAGGAATGAACCCCAAGACACTTACTATTCAAACAAGAATTGTCCTTCTCTTGTTCAGCCAAAGAGGTGAAGAAAGCCCCTGTGATCCTGGAGAAACTGCAGAACAGCGGAGTTCCCGAAGGCCACCTGGTGAGGCTGGAGTGCCGGGTGATAGGCATGCCCCCACCCGTGTTCTACTGGAAGAAGGACAACGAGACCATTCCTTTCACCAGAGAGAGGATCAGGTACAGCCCCACCCACATTCAGAGGGACTCCCAAGGTCAGTGGTTCACCCAAGTAAATCTGTAGCCTTTTGAATCTGGATTCTTTCACTGAGATTAATGCATTTGAGTTTCGTCCATGTTAGTGTACATATCAAGAATGTATTCCTTGTTGTTGCTGGGAGGCAGTCTATTGTATGACTGCCCCACCATTTTAAAACCTTAATTTTTTTTTTAAAATATATCTTTATTGATTTCAGAGAGAGGAAAGGAGAGGGAGAGAGAGAGATAGAAACATCAGTGATGAGAGAGTCATTGATTGGCTGCCTCCTGCACGCCCCCGACTGGGGATGGAGCCCGCAACCTGGGCATGTGCCCTGACCCGGAATCGAACCTTGATCGCCTGGATCCTAGGTCGATGCTCAACCGCTGAGCCACGCCCGGCTGGGCTAAAACCTTAATTTTTAAGTTTAAAAATGTACAAGGAGAAGTATTTGAGGTTTTGCTTCCTGGCATATGTTGTCAGGTTGGCTCAAACAAACTCCTATAAAAATTAAAAGCAGCCCTGGCCAGGTGGCTCAGTCGGTTGGAGTGTCGTGCTATAAACCAAAAGGTTTGATTCCCAGTCAGGTCACATACCTAGGTTGTGGGTTCGATCCCGAGCAGGGCCCAGTACAGGAGGCAAGTGATCAATGTTTTCTCTCTCCCTCTCTCTCTTCTTTCTCTCCCTCTATCTCATTCTCTTTCCCTTCTTCTCTCAAGTCAATAAAACATATTCTCAGGTGAGGATACAAAATATTAAAAACAAACAAAAATGCATAAGGAATTTATGAAGACTCTGCATAGTTTGTGTCATGTGTCTTTAGTCATATTAGTACCCAGAAAACCTCTTTGATTGTGATAAGCTAAAATAAAATAAAGCAAAACAGAACATTAAGGCAGTTATGCTCCCTCTCCATCCATCACTACATGGTTGTTTTTAAAGTAACTTTAAGGATCCAGTTTCTTAGAGTGGGGGCCCTTCTTGATTTCCCTAACCAACTTAATTTCTTGGCCATTTTGGTTTTATGCCACAAGGGGGCAAGCAAACAAAGGCAGCTGGTGAACGGAAATTCCTACTGAGAATTATTTCTTCACCGTCAAGGGAATTTGCCCCAGAGAATGTTGTAGCTGTCAGGTTTTACAGAATTTGGGCATCTAAGACGTATGTCTATATAGGTTAGGATTTTTCTCTGGTAAAACTTAAGCAAGAACTGAGAATATTCTCAAGTTAACACTTCAGTCTAAATGAAGATAACATGTTAAACCCAGCCTGAAATTCTGGTGGAATTATCCAGGATTGCAACCTTCAGCCAAGGTGGAGAACTACTGATGGAGAGGAAACGGAAGGAAGAGCATGCTAATTTGCTCCTGAACTGTATTAAGCTAAATGCTGCACGTGCCCAATTGGTTACATTAAGAAATACTCCCTCCCTGCTAACAATTCCTCTATCCCTGGGTTTCAGACCAAGCTTTCCCATAGCTTCCTAATAGAGTTCTTGTGGAAATATCCAACCTGGTTTAGAAAAGAGATTTTTCTGGACTTTGGTTGTGACAAGTGGAGATGCCCTTGGTAGGGAGTAGGACTCTAGGAGAGTTGGAGCAATGGGGGGGGGGCAAGAACAGGTCTCAGTCCTCATCACAGCCTCACTAGGTTAATTGCTGCTCTTTTGTGACTTCTTTCCACCTTCAAGCTTGCCTTTGATGTTTGCTTTAAGCTGAGTCCCCCTTTTCTCCACCCAGGGACAGGGAAGCGGGGGGGAGCACTGCACCACTGGATTTGTCCCAGGAGTTTCCCTGAGCCCTAACCTTTACAAGGCGGTTTCTGCCACCAGATACAGTATGGATGTATTCTTTCCTTTCTCCAGTATGCACCAGGACACAACAGGGTATGTCTGCCTCCTCATTCAGCCAGCCAAGAAATCAGACGCCGGATGGTACACACTATCAGCCAAGAATGAAGCTGGCATCGTGTCGTGCACTGCGAGGTTGGATATATATGGTAGGTGTTGTGGCATCAGTTGGATGTCTGTGTGTGACAGGCGACTTAAAAAAACTTTTTTTTTTTTTAAAGGATAGGTGTAGTACATTTCCTTAAATGGATTGGTTGGATTATATTTTAGTGCTTAAGAGATGGATTTTTAAAGTTATTTCATCCTAGTCACCTCAGGGCTTCATACACATTTGCATTTACTATGAGCTTAACCTTTTTCCAAAAGAGGTCTTCTAACACTAGGAATTACAGCTACTTCAGAGCTTACATGTGGAGTTTACATGTAAACTCCAGCATCTCCATGCTGTCTCCTTGGTGCCACTGGCCACCCATGGGAACTCCCTCCCCACTGGCTCTCATTTCCCCCAGCCCCATACCAGCAGACTTTTCCTGATCCCATTAATTTATTCATTCATTCATTCCACAAATATTTATTGTCCCAATTCCACAACCAGAGTAATAATAAAGAGCTGTCCTAATAATAATATCAAATGACATTTGTATAGTAACTTATAATTTACAAAAAAATTATACCCTTAGATCTCCCAAACGTACGAGATTTTTGTAATTGTTGTAACTCTTATTTAAATGTTGAAGAAACAGACTCAGAAAGGTTAAGTGACTATACCCAGAATGCGAATCGCAGGTTTTATATCATTCCCTTCCTAATTTTCAAAAGGATTTAATGAATTAACCTTTGTTATGTGTTGTATACTCTCCACCTCTCTTCTATAATTTTAACATTAACTGGTATTTTTGGAGACATGTTCCTTAATCCAAAAAAGTGACTCTTTTTTTTTTCTCCTTTTAAAAAAATAACCGGTAACTTTAAAAGTTTCTTGTTTATTACTGGTTTAACAAGATTAACCAGAACAACAAATAAGAGGAACTGTCTAGAACCTGAGTTCCCTGCTATTTGTAGGTACACACCAGGCAGTTATCCCCTTTTTTTAGTGCCATTCAGGAAGGCACTTGGCCTGCCATTTTCCCTAAGTCTAATATTTGGAGGAAAAATATATAGTTTTCTGGTTATTCTCCCTTATTCTTAGGCCTGAAAAGAAACTCAACTCTGAGGTAAGAGGACTCTAATGTACCTTCCCCTGGGAACGTCAGTGGAGAGAGAGGCCAGTGATATGTTTCTTAATCTAGGCTGAGTCCCTTAACCATTTCACAGGCTTCACCATGTCAGAAGGAAATAATAGGTCTCCAACTCAGCACCAATAAACCCCAAAACTGATCGCTCTTGTCCCAATCCTTCAGAGTTCATTCAGTTTGTCCTGGCTCACCTCTTCCTGGCTCCTGTCCTGATTCCACAGCACCAGTTGGAGGCGCTGTTTCCTTAGTTTGGACCTGGGGGTGGAGGAGATGATAGTGGACTTGGGGTAAAATCAATCTCCTATGTCCCTCACCACCACCTCCTGCCTGTCTGAGGAATAGGAACAGTAGGCTCCCCTCTCTCATTGAAAGGAGGGCTTCTAATAGCAGCAATTATAGTAGCCTGGGTAAGATGTCAGAGAGCAGGGAAAGGCTAAGAAATGGAGGGCTGGGGGAGAGGGCCACTGGCTCTTCGCTGAGGCCTCCCAAGCGTCTTCTCTTTAGTGGATTCTCTGTAAGTTTTGTCCTCAGTTTTGTAGCTTCCCAAGTTTGACCTTATCAGTTCACTCAGAAGTATTTAAACTCTGAAAAAGTGATTCAAAACAATGAAATGAACAAAGGTCCAATTCATAAATGGGAATGCTACAAGGGCCGATACCTTTCTAGAATGCAGAGCCTCAGGGTTCTCCACACCAAGGCCTCTGGAAACCTGATCAAAAGACTGCTTGGTAATTTCTGAACAGGAGATGACAGCAGTTTGGATGGATATTTCATTCAGACCTCATTCAAGCCTAATGATTGTGTCTGATAAAAGCAGGGTCTCCTTTGGACAGTGCTTGGTGAACATGGAACCTCTAATACATTCTCTTTTGCCCTGAACCGAGATTGATTGCACATAATTACTTTTCAGTCTTCTTGCTGTAACTAATTAGAACCTGATTAGGGTGCTGGGTAGGTAATGGCTCATTAGGGTGATGAGAGTGTGGGGCAGGTATTCTCAGAGGGTTGGACCCATCTTTTGCCTTCCATTTCCTCAAGTTTCTTTTCTCTACCTCCTGAGAGCCTATAATCCTCTCTACACTGCCCCTCGCAGGCCCCATGCTAGGTCGGTGAGAGGGGAAAATTTTGATAAATCACCCTAGTCACCCACTCTTTCTTCTTATAGTCCCAGATCTTACTGGGTTAGAATCACAGGTTTTGGAATTAGGGGTTTAAGAGATCACCAGCCCTGTTTCCCTATTCCTGGCAGGGAAGGAGAGATTTCACTGTTATCTTTTACAAAGGAGATATTTCAGACCCAGATCTATTTTAACGCTCTACCAACATCCCACAGAAAGTGTTGGAGTGGCAACGGAATGCACGCCTGCAGTGTACCCACTAGACTGTACTCCTTTCATTGCAACATGTTATTTGGTCCATTTTCCAGCTCAGTGGCACCAGCAGATCCCACCGCCCATCTCCGTCCGGCCCAGTGGCAGTCGCTATGGATCTCTCACCAGTAAAGGACTTGACATTTTCTCTGCCTTCTCCTCTATGGAAAGCACGATGGTGTATTCATGCTCTTCTCGAAGTGTAGTGGAGAGCGATGAACTCTAAGAAGGCCTGGGTGCCTGCCGTGTCAGGGGCAGACTGGAGGGGGAAGGAGGACAAGCCAGAGCCAGTGTTTTCCAAGCAACTGGATCTGAGAAAGTTCCCACGCTGCTGGACCTGTGGCAAGGAGCGCTTTGTGCAAGTCAGCTGGCGACTCTCGCAGTCTCGGCTGGGGAGGAGATGTAGGGCTGTGCCTTTTAAAGATTCCAACAAAAATGTGAGAAGACAATAACAGATGAACCAAAGATGCCGTGCCGCGGCCATCCACTGCTTTGGGAAAAAGCTAGCGTGCTCCCCTCCCCCATGCTGTGTTAGGGATGTTTAGGCCCTACTAGGAGCAATTAGGGGCCGCCACAGGCTTGGGCTGAGAGGGGTTAGGCGGTAGTGACCTTAGGTATCAGTAACTCACCCAACAGTGCAAAGGGAAAAGATGGAGAGGCCTCCATCGCCTTTCACCAATGACATCCGTAGCTGTAGTTTTGGTGGCTTCATTAAGTCAGCTTCTACTTCGTATTAGGAGAGCGTGCCATACAACTCACATATGTGGAGAAACATTTTTGATTTGTTTATCCTGGGTGTACTGAGCTACAAAATAAGGTGCCAACATGTGCTTGAGATACAAAATCGCTGAAACACTCAGTGTTGCACAGTGCACTAATGCTATAGCCAAAACAGGGCTCCACCCACCTGTCCGCACCATTTTCTTTAGGATGCAATGGTGAATGGTTTTTTCTTTCTGAATTTATATATCCCTAGACTCTAGAACTAAGGGATTGTTAAAAAACAAACAAACAAACAAACAACCAGAAAGAAATCTTCTACGGGGACACTTTTAAAACTACTAGCTTCAATTGCCACTTGCAAAATATTCAGGAGTCATCGTCTGCCCATAAATACGACGACACTCGCGCTCCTCCCCTCTCCCCAAAAGTCTGGAAGTGTATGAGGCAGTAAGGAAGAAAGAGACACAAACAAGGGGAGGCAGGGGAGGGAGAGCTCTTCACTTGCCCCGTGGAGCAGTGGTTGTGGAAGGAGGAGTTTTTAATAGTTGTGAACTGCTTGGGGATCATTAGTCAAATTGCATTTTCTATACATAAAATACTATGCTAACTGGGAAAGTGGAAAGAGAGGGGAATTTGCCTCTTTTTTCTAACCCACCAATTCAAAACCTGCCTTTCAGCTTAAGGAATTTTTAGACTTAAGTTCACTGTGATATCCCCAGTGCCTAGAAGAGTGCTTAGCACAGAGTAGACAGTCAACAGATATTTGGTGGGTGAATGCTTCCTACATTAGCTAGAGAAATTCACAATCCACATGAGTCCAAAAATTTCCCTGGGAATGCTCATCACAGCACCCTTTGCTCCCAGGCTCACCAGTGATACGAATTGGAAGTATCTATTACCAGTCCCCTGTGCCCAAGTCTCTGGTGTTCTCTGAGCCAGGCGCCCTCAGCAGGCATCTCACTCAATTACAAATAGTAATTGTTTAGAAAGGCTTGAAATTTTCTTCACTTCAAGGCAAGGATTTTCAGTATAAAAATAAATTCATTCACTCAAAAATTCATTTGTGTGTATATGAGAGGCTACGCTCGAGACTGTGGGAGATACAAAGACATGAATAAGACACAGTCCCTGACCTCAGGGAGCTTACAATCTAGTGGGGGAGGTAAGATATAAGGCATGTAGAGTGCTGCTTTTGGGGCAAAAAAAAAAAAAAATCTATATCAAATAGAATTTTCTAGTTCTCTTTATCCTATATTTTTCATGACTCTAAAATCAAGGTTTCAATTATTTAGCAGAATTATTAGATTTTGTTTCCTTTTTCATATATGCAGAAACAATACTAAAAAGTATAGGCAACTGTAATAAAATAGAATGCATTTCATATAGAGTGAATCCTGTAAAATGCCCTATTTCCATAATGGCTTCTATTACGAAATCTCCTATAACCAAAGGGAACTTTCTAATTGCAGGATTGCTCCTTCACAGTTGTACACCCAACCTCCCCATCACATTTATTTCTGTAAACCCTAGACAGTTCTCCCATGAAAGGATATTCTGCATCTCTATATGTCTTAGCTTTCTGAATATTTTTTAATCTGTTGCCTTTTAGTGTTCAACGGAGAACTGGGATAAATATTATATTTGGCCTTTAGGTGGCGCTGACTGACCTAAAATATAAACAGCTCCCCTCAAAATTTGAAATTGAGCTATTGGATTATGTTAAAGCAAGGTTTCCCAACCTCAGCATTATTGACTTTTGGGGCTGGATAATTCTTTGTTTGGGGGGACTGTCCTGTACTCTCTAGGATGCTTAGTGGCATCCCTGGCCTCTACTCACCAAATGCCAGGAGCATAGCAGTCCCTCCTGGGCTTGTGGCCACCCAAACCATCCCCAGACATTGCCATATGTTCTCTGAGATGCAGAACCCCGCTTTGTTGAGAACCACTGAGTTGAACAAATCTGCTATGAGAATTCGATTACAATGAGGAATACTTAGCTGAGAAATTTTAGTTCTGCTGGATATGTTTGGACTCAACATTTCTAACAGATTCATCATCTTCCCTTTTGTAAATGATTCTTCAACCTAGTTTAATCATTTCTATTAATGGCACCTAGTAATCCAAATAAAAAGCATCCAAGCCTTTTTTTGTTTCCTCTATCCAGTCAATTGTTAAATCCTAATAATTCTAACATCTTTTTTTTTTTTACATTCATCCCTTCCTTCCCTTCCCTCTGCAGTTTTCCAGTCAGACTTTCATTACTTTATTAATTTCCCTCAGTACTTCTGACCTCAACCATAATAAAATACCTCTAAGTGGTCTTTCTGCCACTAGTCATTGTTTCTCCACACTCAAGTCCAGCCCAAATCTCAGCGTGAGCTCATTCTTCCTTAAGTACTGCTCTAGTCATATTACTGCCCAATTTCAAACCCCCAGTGGCTCCCTGGATTTAACTCAGGTGCCAGCTGTCCTGCCCTGTGGCATTCAAGGCTTGCTCAAGTATGATCCCAAAGCTCTTCATCCATTTCTCAGAAAACACACCCGATGTGGCAGCATACTTAACACAGGCCCCCTGCTTTCCAGCCCCATGCCTCCCTTTTGCCTGTACCTGGAAACCTCTCTTCCTAGTCTACACCTATGGAAATCTTACCTGTTCCTGAAAGTCCATCAAAGTACTGCCTCTGTGAAATATTTTCTGACTCCCCAGACCCCAACCAAATACAATTCTATTTTCTTTGAAACCTTATAGCAAATGTCTTGAGTCTGGAAGAAGAGAACTTTGTATAGTATTTTATGTAAAACACAGACTCTATATACCTGCCTGCCCCCTCCCCTTGCACTAACCCAGTCTTTCCTACACTAGATTTTAGCTACCTGTTGGTATGGACTGTGTCAAAAGTTTGCTGTGTACCTTTTAAGAGTAGGCACTCAATAAATATTTATTGACCTAAATTGAGCTTTAAAATTCTATGTAAATCAATGTGTTTCTATATAAAGTGAATTGAGTTTAGAGTAATGGTTCTTAACTTTGCACATTAGAATCTCCTGGGGAGCTTTTAAAAATCCTGATGCCTGGGTCACAACCCCAAATCAGAAAGTCATAAGTTCTGGGGTTGTGGCCTAGGCATCAGTATTTTTTAAAGCTTCCCAGGTGATTCTAATGAGAAGCAAAGTTTCAGAAGAGTTAGTTCAGAACTTACCCAGAAAGGTCCAAAGGGCTGTGGGTGGCAAAAAGCTGCCGTGTTGGCATCAGTGAAGAATGTATCCCCCCGGTTGCCCATGCGGTGCATGCCTGGAAAGTAGAAATAAACACATGCTTTGGCCTCATTGGACTCTACTATCCTGCACAATGTTCATTAGACATGAAGCATTCATGAAGCCCCAGAGGAACCTCAAAAACATGCAAAAATGGACCAGGGAAGGTTGATGCAGTTCATCTGGCTCTTTGTTTCAAAAAGCTGTGCTGACCCCATAAGCTCCCTTCTCTCCAAAGAGCTGAAGGGCTTTTTATAACATAGTCAGTCATAGAAATGGGGATCAGACAGAAAGCAGAGAAAGAAAATGAGACATTTAAACCAAACTGCCTTTTTGAAACGTAGTGCCCTTCCCCAAAGCAGGGTTTTAATCTGAATTGCCAAATAGTGGAACTGGTTTCAATGCATTCTTCTTTGTTTACTCCTCACTTAACTTTTGTAGACATCCAATGAGAAATTAATGGTCAAGAGTCCAGTCGTGGTAGAACTAGAGCTCTGAATGACACATACTGTGGAGAGTAACTCCCAGAGGCGTCAAAAGCTAACTTTTGTAGGGACAGGTTAATTTGGATAATCCTCGAATGATAAATGGGTTGCCTTCTAAATGTTCGCTTGTAAATTGGTTGTTTAAAACTCAGAATAAATTTTCTTACACACATTATCACCCAATACCAGATTCCCAAGTGAACCTAGTAAAGCCCATTTAATTCATGATCGAGTTATAAAATCTACTACACCTGATTGGGTGATGATCCCAACAATAGGGATCCAGGAAAAACAGCCAATAAGAGGAGAAGAAAAACTTCTTCCTCTGCCCTTTTTGTGTCTATGATGTGTTAAAGCTAAAGAATGCCTATGGTCCTTTCTGTATTTATCTCCATTCTGTGTTTTTCTCCCCAGATGCCCTGTGTTCTATAATCCCCCTGCTGTAACCCTTCCCATTTTACCCCTTCCCTGTCAACATGCTTCATGATCCAAAATGACCTAACTCCAGTTCCATGCGTCTTGGCTTAATGTTCAGAAGAAAGCAGTCCAGTTGAACAAATTCTGAATGCCTGAGAGTCCTTTCACTTCTCAGAGGTGCTGCATTTTTAAAAGCAGTTGCTTTCTTACTTCCGTCAACTTTTAATTGATACAATTGCTGACAAAGAAGAGAAAAAAAAAGTCAGGCTGTGAGAGGAAGTCTAGAAAACTGACTGGGTCAGACACCCAAATTGTCCTTGTTGATCCTAGCCTCCTCCCGGCCTCCTCCCCATACACTCCCAAATTACCTCCCAAGCTGAGATCCTGGCCTGAGTCTGTTTTGTAAATGGGCTACAAGTTAGTTTCTAACTTAAAGACAAATTTACTCATCATAACCTTTACTCAAGGTCCCTTACAGAGTCCTTGGGTAACCTGGCCTCAAAGTACCTGCTGATGGTCAAGTTGAAAATCAATGTGCCTTCCCAGTAAGATGTACAGTCACTTCGATTGCAATAGAGTTTGTTGAAGTTCGTTTCACCACTAATTGCCTTTTCTTAAGTGGGTCAATATTTCAGAAAGTTAATTACTAAAGCTTTGCTTGAAGAATGCCAAGCATCTTCTAAACATTGACAACACAGTGGTCATCAATATGCTAAAAAAGTTGCTAATACTATGTTTTAAAAAATCTGTGCGGTGCAAAAAAAATGCGTATTTGTTAAAAATATGTTTGCCTCTTATTTCTGTCTAATTATATATTAGTTAGCATACTTGGTATTATAGAACCATGAACATGCTGCCTTTTGTTAACATGTAAATCATGGCCACTTCAAACTCCAAAGAGCAATAGCCTTAAAATTGCAAGAAACAGAGAAAGAACACACTTTTCAATCCTGAGAATTGTGCCATAAATGCTAAGAATAAACACAAAGAAAATGTCTGTATACACACTAATTTGCCATATTCTAATATATAAGTGAATAGAAAATGTTTCCCTAATAATAAAAATTAAAATATTTCAACATTTGAAAATATTTTAAGGCTGAATAGAAATAAATGTACATTTTTCTTTAAAATGCAGGTAACAGTTCTAATTTCCAGGTTTAAAGTTACTTTTTGATAATAATAGAACTGATTTTTTAATGTACAAAGATATTGAGACTTTTTAAATGATTTTTTAAAAGTATCTTTATAACTGTATAAATTACTACGTGAATTATAACCTGGTTAAATATCTCTAGAGCACCAGAAAGGTAACTGGGTTTTGGTCTTCCTGAAATATCCAGTACATTCAATAGATTTCTCATAGAATGTTCTTTAACGATCTAAGATTAAAATTCACTCAGCTTCCTAACTGAAAACAGAGACACTTTAAAAAGTGAGACTTTTTAGACCAGTTTAGATTGGAAATTAATGGAGGTACAAGTACAGTTTTGTCACAATACAAGTATTCTAATACCCACAAGAAACATGAATTGTTTTCATATAATATGATGAGTGAATTTTGTTCCAAAATTCCAAAGAATCTGATATTTCTTCACAGATTCAGTGAGTTATCTGCAAACTAGAGGCATATTCTTATAATTTTTCCACAATTCGTGGTTTCAGAATCCATTTAACTATATACTAGTATTGACTATAGCAGTCACTACCAAAAGTTCACTAAATGTGTATGTGTGCACAGTATAAGTGGTTTTACTGTGTATTTTAAGGGGAGTTAAAACCCTGTAATTCAAATGACATAATTTGAATGCAACTATATTTTTTAACACATGTTGGTAAATTAAATTTTATTTTTTCAGTATTTTGATTTCAGAGATACCTTATCTTCCTTTCTGATTTTCACTTACTTTTTTCAATCTTCAGCATTAAGTTTCTTGACAGGCCCTTCTCTCTTCATTACTTTCATGTCAAGATAAAAATCTGTAAAATATTTAATAGCATTAGGAGAGCTCCTTATTTGTAGGAATTCTTAGGTCAATTCCTGGAAATAAGAGGAATTTTAATAATTCTGATGAACTTCAGACACATTTTCTAATTTTTTTATAACTCTGGGGTCTCTGTTTCTTCATCTATAAAATAAGCAAACTACTTGAGCCTTTCCCAGGATGGAAGATAGAATAAACAAATATTTATGAAGAGTTTATTTTAGAGACCCTTAAAAAAGTGGTAGCTGGTTTTTTTTATTCCAAGGGAAATGTTAAAAAATATTTTTTCCAGAGTAAGAAGTTAATTTAAGAAGTTCACATATCTCTCCTGCCTTGCTACTTTGTTTGTTTATTGTTGTTTTTTAGAAGGGCAATACATAATGCCAAAATATTCCGATAAGATGGTATGCAATGTAAAAAAAGAAAAAAGATGTGGGAAAAAATAAAATTCAAGAAATATCCTATCTGCTTTCTGCAGGCAGATTCCAGGGAAATTTATTTTGGCATAGGCAGAATAGTCAAAGGGAACTCTGACTCTTGTGTCTATGACTGAAGCTAGTGGAAAAAATGACTCGGGAGTGCACAGAGGAACAGCAAGGAGTTCCCTGTGCCTCTGTGGCTGAAGCAGCTCGGACAACTCCATCGTGCAGGCCCAGACCCGGTGAAGAAACCGTCCGTCCTCGCGTGTCAATGGCCTTACAGTGAAATGGATCAACTTAGGATAACGGGTAGATATGGACCCTCAAAAATGAGCGTATCTTTTGGTCTCTGTTTTGCCATTCACAGTTACATCAAGTCTGAATTTAACCCCAATGATTCATTTCAGCCATGGATGTATTCGTGCCATAGGAGTGTATCCACACACACACACACGTATGCAGTCGTGGAGCACCCATAGCTCACCCAATTCAGTCAGGATCAAGTGACACCTCTTACTTACACTTTTCCTTTTTCTTCCTGCATGAGTTCTTTCCACTTGAAAACACACAAGGCCCCAAAAGTTCACAAACCTGGTATGCTTCCATCTTAGAAAGCCTGAGTCAACTTATTTTCTAAGGTACTTTTTTGGTTATTAAAATCCTAATGGGGGAAAAAAAAATCATTAGAGTAGCCACTTTGAAATGTGTGAATTACATAAACTGTATATTTTGCCTCTATTATTAGAAAGCAATGAATGGATCTTGGCTTTTATTCCTGTGCATGTTAGATAGTCTGTGGAACTGACCACCTAAGCCAACATGTTTGTTGTGAGCATAAACTGTCTTTGTTCCGAGCACATATATGGTACTGTATTCCGGTAGACCACATCACCTCCATGACACCGTCGCTGTTTTCTCGTGCTTTCTTAAAGATTTGTTGAGGGTTGTGTTCTGTTTGGAAATTTTGCAATTAGAAGAAGAAAAATGAGAATTTAAAAACAGTATTTAATTCCACCTGGATGTTTTTAAAAGCAGTTTAGAGGATGTGATGGACTGTTTCTTTATTTATTAAATAAAATTTTATTTATTCTCAATTAATTGTTGGGTTTGTTTTTGTTTTTGTTCCCAGACTTTGCATGTGAGATGGGTAAGTACTTGCTGTCAGAGGTTTCCCTTCAGCTCAGGTATATTTTTGGATACATTACCAGTTGAAATAGCAAACCAAACGTCCTGTGTTAATTCAATAAAACAGTTGTTAAAGCTTGTACCCACTGGTGCATTCATGACCAGAGAGCGGAACGGGTCAACCTTCTGAGAAGATAGGTCAGATATTTATGGTCTTATATGCACTTTGAAATTTCTTTCACCTCCTCAGTAGTAAAAAGAGATATCTTTAGTGACACCCAAAGAAAGCAGAGAGTAGAGTCTAGCCAAATTCAGCCCAAAAATAGCACCTCCGTTTTACTGTAAGATGGCTGATGTAAGTGAACCGAGCCTTAATAGGTGAATCCTGCAGCTCCATTAACCACGACCCAAACAAAGGCTATCTAGCTCAAAGCTAGCAGAAATTTTAGGTCTTCATTAATATAAAGGTCACCTTAACTTAGGAACTGGCTGGCTGTGTTGGATGTTAAGAAAGCCTAATCCTTTTTTTTAAAAAAAATGTATCTTTATTGTTGAAAGTATTACAGAGGTCCTCTTTTTTCCCCCATTGACCCCCTCCACCTTGTACCCCCTCCCTGCCCCAGGCCTTCCCCACACTATTGTCTGTGTCCAGGGTTATGCATATATGCATATAAATTCTTTGGTTAATCTCTCTCCACCCACCCATACCCTCCCTTCCCCACCTTTCTTGTGAAATTCGTCAGTCTGTCCCATGTTTCTATGTCCAACTGAAAAACCCTATCGAGGATGGTAAGGGGGAAGCCTTCTTTTATTATTTAATGCCCCTCTTAAGAGCTCTTATGGCACATAGAGTCCACTGCTGCAGCATTCAGCTACACTCTGTTTAGGAGCGCATGTTGAATAATACATGTGTGGTGTTCTCAGCTGCCTACCCAAGCACGAGGATGGTTTTGAGTAAGCCTGGGTATGCATAGGTGCTTGATATATTCGTTGATTTATTAAGGAGTTTTATCAAAGATTGGATTTGATCACTGAGACCCATTTACATTTCCCTGAAATATCTTTCAGGGGGGGAAATAGTACATCAAGTTGGGTGGAAAGCTTGGGGATTTGGTAAGAGCTAAATTGCTTCCAAAGATTTCCATAAACACAGAAACAGGGAGCTAAAGGCATAATATTGGACAGAGAGATTCCCATTCTTTTGGAAGAATGGGGATGGGGAAGGAGAGGCGTGGGAATAGAATCTCATCACTTTAATTAAATTGTTCAATTTCATTGAGAAACTGCTATTAAAAACCATAAAAGAAATAATTACTGTTTATTCTTTCTAAACCTCTGTACTAAAAGCTGTGGAGAGAAATGAAAAGAATGGTCTCCTTTACAAGGTATTAGTCACAGTCCGGGCAGGGGAATGAGAACCCTGCATGAAAAAGGGTCAGTGATTTTCATACAATTTTGACACTTTCTCTGAAAAACACAACGCTTTTGGGTTTTCTTTTACACTGATTTTATTCATTCTCAAACTCTACAAATTTACTGGGATTATTAATGAAGCCTTTTAAGTCTAAATAATTAGGCTATTGTACTCAAATAGTGAGGCAAGCAGATGCCCTAAGCCTTGTCATTAGGCCAAATGCACAGGGCAGAGTGGGGTGTGACCAGAGAAGGTCCTGGCATCATCACTTCCGAACTGTGCTGCCTGTTGGACTATGGTGTCTTCTAAGAGCTGTTGAGGTCAAGAAATTAAACATTTTACTCTCTAATTTGCAGTTTGGAAGCAAAGATAACTTAGAGGCCTACGTATTCTAATTATTAGCAAGACAGCCTCCCAAATGCATTCAGTGCCGTTGACCACAAAGTCACCCTTTATATTAAGGTTCTGTTTATTCATCCAACGGGTAAGCAAATTTATAAAAGTAATTCAAACAAATACCATGTGCGTTATTTTGCTTCCATCCTGATTAGCCTTGACAGTGGTGAAGCTCTTACTGCTCAATTTGGTACTGATGAAAAGGAAACCACTTCCAAATGGAACTTTTTTTTTTTTATTTCTCTCGGTGTTAGTTTATGTATATATATGTACAGGAACAAACATAGGAACAATGTATATATATTTGGGTATTTGTAAGGAATTAATAGTAATTGGCTTAAGGAAAATAAAATATTGAGGAACCGTATATCTAGTTACCTAAAGCTAAATATTATTTCAATTAATTTAATCATTAAAAAACCATGAAAAATACATCTATTATTTCCAAGTTGACAGAGAAAACTTTCAAATTAATTACGTGTCTCTCAGCTTGCATTTTTTTGAGGAAGTATTACAAAACAGCACATTTACCATTGGTGTGATTAGATTTAAACTCCACATCTTTGCTCAGGGAAGCACTCAATAGCATCACCCCCAGTTAGGCTTTTGCGCCATCAGGAAACTAACCGGGCACCTGGCATGAAAAGCAAACCCTCGTTTTTACCTATATTTTACAAAATCTATATTTTAATAATGTATACATAGTTTTTAAAAATACAGAAACTCATGGCCATGTACTCTACTGGAAAAGAAAAAATAAGCCTGACTACTTCACGCATGCACACACAACGCACTAAGCACAAATGCATCTACACGACAGGAAGGTAGCTCTGTTTTAAGCATACACAAGGAATGGATACTGCAACTTCACCCGAGCAGGACAAACTTACAAAGTTTAAGGAAGTGATTATTTCTCTGAGAATTAAAACTGCAGTATAGTCTAATTCTATTTTTTCTTAAGATTGTTTTCCCTCAAAGTAGTCCAGCAAAGGGGAGGGTGGTGGTGTATTATTTTCACAGCATCCAAAACCATTCACAAGATCCATCAATGAAACCTGCAAAATACTGATAAGGGGGAAAGAAAGAAAATAAAGTCACCGTGTCCACAGACTAGTGATGCAAAATAAAGGAACCTGGAAGTTGTCTCATTTTATTCTAAGAATGCATCCGTGGCCACCGCCAGCCCCGGCCGATCCTGGGGCAAAGGGGCGCGGCTCCAGAGCAAGATCCCTGGGCATCGTCGCCCCCGCGGGCCGCGGGCCCTAACTGGCCATCTGGAAGGGCTCGGGCTGGAAGCCGAAGAGCCGCTGGCCGTAGGGCTCGCTCTCGCCCGGCAGCTTCGCGCCCGCAAACGGGAGGTAGTGGTCGCGGCCGAAGTGCTCGCAGTGGAGGTTGACCCAGTCCCTCTCCGAGCCGAAGCGCTCGGCCTCAGCCAGGATGCGGGTCAGAGCCATGATGTAGCTCAGCGCCATCTGCAGGGTCTCGTACTTGGACAGCTTTTTGTCCTGGCCCCACTGAGGCACCACCCT